CCCAGTATTCACTTGTAATCGCATCTTCAGCTAGGCTGGTATAGGGCGGAATGAGCTGATCGATCAAGCACAAAGTTGTTGAAACTGATGCCCTTTTAAGAAGCAACAAACGCCCCTATGCAATGAGGTACGTACTTGTAGAGCTTCCCGGTGATTTGACCCTTTCCCTTCTAAAGTGATCTCCTGATCTAAAACACCATTTTCGATAGATTCTTCTTTCTACTGAATGTGACGCAAAGCGGATTAAGAGGGTTTTTCTGCGGACACTTATATCAATAAATTAATCTATATTCTAGTTAATATCTAGTGCATTTTTAACCTGCCCATTGGAGTAAGGTATTTTTCACGCCGAGCTTAAAAGGAATGAGACTCAAGATGCTTTCCACTCCATGCTGTTTGCCAGCAGATTGTTCTGGCCGTTTGTGTGCCCTTTAGGTAGAATATCTAATAATGGCTGGAACTTTGCACTGCAGCAGTCACTGCAATAAAGACTCATTCCAGTTTCCCCTAACTTTCAACAGTAGTGAGTACTGAGCACCATTGTTGCACACAGTTCCGAGTTTCCTAGTGGATGTGTCAACAGTACATACAATGACTCAAATCTTCTGCTATTTCGGTGTTTAATTTCAGCTAAACCTGGGAGCTGGGTCAATAGGTTAGTCATTGCAAATATCTGTTAATCACGGAGAAACGAGGTTAGCGAAACATTCTGAGTGAGAAAGACAACTTCATCCTCCGAAATCTTGCTTGGTTTGCTTGAAGGATTGAATAGGTCATAAGTAATGCCACAATTTGGTTTCTTGTTCTTCGCCTACCCATTCACAAGCACACCGAATTCACGATCACTTGCTGTTGCTCCTTCAGACCATATTTTAAGCTCTGGTCGGTGGAGAAAATAGTCCGTTATTTAGAAAGACCACACCTACTCGATGGACATGAAGTTTCCACCGCAAAACTATACACGAGAGACTGGAAAAATGACTGGAAGTGGACCGAACTGATCAGTGAATAAAGGACTGATGGAGTCCAAATTCTGGACCTGTAAGGTAAACACTCACAAATACTTCACCCTACCCGTCCTGCTTACACTGTCTATCTGCCCAAGTCAACTTTTTCCTAATGTGTGCTTCTATAAAATGCTCTGTTATCAGTAAGTTGACTAATCGTGCGGAAAGTGATGACCATTACTTCCTTTTAAAGAAAGTTTAATGCAACACAAAGCTCACATAAAGCAGTACACTAGACAGCGGAGCAACATCTTGTTGCAGCCGTCATTTCTTGTGCGTGATGTCAACCAGCTGTCGTGATTCAACAAGACGATCAAGACAGCATTCTCATCTTTAGTTTCTGTGTCTTAAGTAGATAAAGGATAGTAAAAATAATGCACTTCGCCAATGTTTCTAAATACGATTCACCACCTATACATTATAGGTTATTTCGTGTGATTTTAGGCACTTTGTTACCAACGGGAGTAACTTCACTCTTACCGACGCATCTTGATTTGATTCACGGGATATATCAGCGGAACAAATCGTGTTTCTTCCGCGTTAATCTCAAATAAAATATAAGGGCGTAGGCCTACGGGCGAAATAGTTTCGGAATTCGATACGTATTCCTGCATGCGGTCTGCAAGTTTCAATGCTTGCTAATGGGCGGCGGTTTAAGAGATCGAAGGAGATCAAAGCGACGATAGTGAGACAGAATTCGGGTTAGTTTAATGCATATTACTTCTCGTTTCAGGTCATCGAGAAATCTGACGATGGACAGATTTACCTGAAGGAAGGCCAATGAATAGCCCAGCCTGCGGATTTATCTATATGATGATAACTCAACTTGCGAAACCCTAACGCTTTTTGGAACGATGCCCCTACTCTATGTGAACAGTGCGTTCGTCAATTACATCTAAAATGGCTGGCTTTGAGCATCCTTAGAAGGATACGACTGAGTGGTGTTGTGCACGTAAGGTGAAGAAACTGACGGATGGCACTAGTATTTTGTTTTTCACTGTTGTGCTGATGCTCTTATGCAACTATGCTTAAGCCAGCTAATGTTTAGCAAGGTTAAGCGCCATTCTCATTTAATCGGGGTTCTGTCGGATTCACAGGTTGTATATATACATGTATGTGTAGATAGATAGATAGATAGATAGATAGATAGATAGATAGATAGATAGATAGATAGATAGATAGATAGATAGATAGATAGATAGATAGATAGATAGATAGATAGATAGATAGATAGATAGATAGATAGATAGATAGATAGATAGATAGATAGATAGATAGATAGATAGATAGATAGATAGATAGATAGATAGATAGATAGATAGATAGATAGATAGATAGATAGATAGATAGATAGATAGATAGATAGATAGATAGATAGATAGATAGATAGATAGATAGATAGATAGATAGATAGATAGATAGATAGATAGATAGATAGATAGATAGATAGATAGATAGATAGATAGATAGATAGATAGATAGATAGATAGATAGATAGATAGATAGATAGATAGATAGATAGATAGATAGATAGATAGATAGATAGATAGATAGATAGATAGATAGATAGATAGATAGATAGATAGATAGATAGATAGATAGATAGATAGATAGATAGATAGATAGATAGATAGATAGATAGATAGATAGATAGATAGATAGATAGATAGATAGATAGATAGATAGATAGATAGATAGATAGATAGATAGATAGATAGATAGATAGATAGATAGATAGATAGATAGATAGATAGATAGATAGATAGATAGATAGATAGATAGATAGATAGATAGATAGATAGATAGATAGATAGATAGATAGATAGATAGATAGATAGATAGATAGATAGATAGATAGATAGATAGATAGATAGATAGATAGATAGATAGATAGATAGTAGATAGATTGATAGATAGATAGATAGATAGATAGATAAATGAGATACCGAATAGATGGCTTTTTATCAAATAAACCGGTTGTCCTAGACCTTGGTTACCAATCCACCAGGCATCTCTATGCTACCAAATGAGCACGAATACGCCCACATAAATGATCACGTCGAGTTAAAACAACTACTCAGCATCGACGCAATGTTCGCAACAGATTAGCGGAATCTAGTAAACGAACAGTGCGCAAGCAGTAGGTGCGCCTGAAGATAAATCAGCAGTAATGCATTGTTGACTAGAAAGCCAGAAAATTTTATCAGTACTTTTGAGTAGCTGAGTTCCATTTGGTGAATTAGTTCCATTAACTAAGCCGAAGAGATGTGCAGCAAAAAAGGGCCCGTGATATGTGACTCAGTACCATTGATTGAGTTCATTGCGACTAAGCAGTAATCTCCGTGTGGCGCTTAATAATTTCATTTTTTTAAAACGACTATGTTTATTTTACAAGGGAAGCATACCTCATATCAGATGCATTACTAGTTAAAATAATGAAGTTACGTTTCCCAACTTGGCCCTGAATTCCGCAACCGGGTATTTTATGTTCTGTCAGCGTTCTGACTCCCTCGTAGTGAAAATATTTTCCAGTAGATTTTGCAGTAGATTTTGAGAACTAAAGCCTCCTGCATCTAAGTTTTACTTATTCGATACCTCTGTAATACTTTTTGCGGTATGCTTTCCTTTCTTATCTGGCAATGTTTTAGCTGACTTAGGTCGCTGATTTCAGGCCTGGTATGTTTTTAGGTACATTCATACTTCTCCTTCTTATTTCTCAAAACTCGAGGAAAGCCACATATGCGACCAAGACTTCCTCAGGGAAGGAAAAAATCTGCACTGTAACTGATCTCCGGAATGTGCTGTTTTTCCCTAGCCGTCTAATTTAAGAATATGGATCCATTTTTCTTGGGTTCGACCACCATCTGCCTCAGAATCATCATTAGATTTCTTTCTTTTTCTGCAGATGTCTCAACATATCTATCGACTAGTGACTTTTTTCAGGTTTTTTGTTTCTGACTCAGTAAACCCATATTGTAACCCTCCGCTTTTTGGACTCCAGAGTCAAGTTGTCCACGGTAAAGTCGATTGGATGATCAGCATCTGCTGGGAGCATGCTGGTCACGACACAGGACAGATGCTGGAAGCTGCGCGGTTGATGCTACGAGCCTAACAACTGTGGCCGGTTACTTCAGCAACTTGTTGCTTGTTCACCATCCCACCACCCACCGCGAGTGAAATTTCACTGATCAGCTTCAAAAATTGCAGCACTTTTTATGACATGAATATGTCCTGAACACATAAACGCTATTAGTAACGGAAGATGGACGCCAGACTAAAAATTAGTAGTAAAAATGAAACAATCAGCAAATGCTGGTAAAATAAATCAGTATTCGGCAGTTTATCTTCTAGGTTCCTAAAGCTTCTGTTCCCCATTTGTGAGCCTCTGGAATTCTATACCTTGGGTGGCGTGTAAGAATCACTTTAATGAACCTTGTAGTTAATAATCTAACAACCGGCAAACATCTTGACGGCTGAAACTAGGACAGTGTTTTCATTCACACTATCGATGATTAGCGCTGTTAAGGTTTGAGACTTCAGACAAGTGGTTTCTTGTTCAAAGCTCACAAAGTATAGTGAACCCTTTTCATATTCAAGTTGGCCTGCCACTCCTCAGAGCACTTTCATTCATTGTTTTCTCGAAGCACGGTTCGTTAGAATTCTACCTCGACCAATATGGCGCCCTCATGTGAGTCATTAGGTGTGATTCTAGCAGCACACGGCAACGAAGGAAAAAAACGAAAAAGACTGATGTTTGCGTAGCTCACTGTAAAGTCCCACGTGACTCCGATACCCCTAACCAATTGTTGATTCCTGTCTATTTGTTTTTGAGAGGATTGGTGAAAGCACACGCTTGACTCACAACAAAACCAGTGCCGCTCTATTCAAACACACATTCTGGCTGAGCCACAAACTTTGAACCGTCGTTCAGATCTATTACTTACCCAGAGAAATGGTAAGTTTTCTTTATCATCTATAGATGATACTTTTTAGCGTGAATGCATCTCGGTCCACGTTGGTCAGGCTGGTGTCCAAATGGGAAACTCGTGTTGGGAGCTTTATTGTGTCGAACATGGTATCCAACCCGATGGCACTATGCCCAGCGATTCGTCTATTGGTATATGTGACGGATCGTTTAATACATTCTTTAGCGAAACAAGTTCGGGCAGACATGTGCCCCGCGTGGTGTTTGTCGACCTAGAGCCTACCGTGATTGACGAAGTTCGTACCGGTGCCTATCGTCAATTGTACCATCCAGAGCAGCTAATCAATGGTAAGGAAGACGCAGCAAACAATTATGCCCGCGGACACTATACGATCGGTCGCGAATTTATTGATGGTGTCGTAGACCGCATTCGAAAAATGACTGACCAGTGCTCAGGACTTCAAGGCTTTCTGGTCTTTCACTCCTTTGGTGGTGGGACTGGTTCGGGGTTCACGTCACTACTGATGGAAAAACTTAGTATTGAATACGGAAAGAAATCCAAATTGGAATTTGCCGTTTATCCCGCCCCGGAGATTTCTACCTCAGTTGTTGAGCCGTATAATTCTATATTAACAACGCACACAACTTTGGACCATTCGGACTGTGCCTTCATGGTTGATAATGAGGCCATTTACGACATATCGAAGTGAGTTGGGTTTTTGGCGACAACTAAAACAATTTCAGACGAAACCTTGGCATTGCTCGACCGTCATACACAAATTTGAACCGTCTTATAGCCCAGGTGGTCAGTTCCATAACCGCGTCGCTACGTTTTGATGGCTCATTGAACGTGGACTTAACTGAATTCCAGACAAATCTTGTGCCTTATCCACGAATACACTTTCCACTGGCCACGTATGCTCCCATTATCTCCGCAGAAAAAGCCTACCATGAGCAACTTAATGTATCTGAAATCACTCATGCCTGCTTTGATCCATCCAATCAGATGGTCAAATGTGACCCACGGAAGGGAAAGTACATTGCTTGTTGCCTTCTCTATCGGGGTGATGTGGTCTCAAAGGATGTGACCGATACGATATCCAGCATAAAGAGCAGGGGATCTGTGCAGTTTGTTGAGTGGTGCCCAACTGGTTTCAAAGTCGGTATCAACAGCCAGCCACCGTCTGTGGTGCCTGGGGGTGATTTGGCCAAAGTCAAAAGGGCGCTGTGTATGCTGAGCAATATCACAGCAATTCGAGAAGCCTGGCAGCGTTTGAATCACAAATTCGATCTGATGTTTGCCAAAAGAGCCTTTGTTCACTGGTACGTTGGAGAAGGCATGGAAGAAGGGGAATTCAATGAGGCTCGAGAAAATTTGGCGGCTTTGGAAAAGGACTACGAAGAAATAGAAATGGAGGCCAACGACGACGAAAACGGCGAAGATGCTGAATATTAAAACATGTATCAACACGGTCTCTTTGTAGTTCAAACAAAAATAACGACATTGTGTGTAGATTGTTTTATCTGCATGGCAAGATTGCTTTTTTAATTAATTTTCTTATTTTTATGCGCGAAAACAGATGAAACTTCTTTCCGAACTAAAACTCCAGTTAAATCTCACAACCTACCTAAGAAATCAAATCATGATTAGAAGTTTTGATTGCAGTGACAGGCAAACCGTTGACCAGTTGCCATCGGAATTCAAAGAAACAACTTAAAGGACTGTAAGATGCTTCGAATTATGAACAAAACATATAAAAATTATAAAAATTACATGAAACGAAAAAATAACCCAGCCACAACCCATCTAAATACTGAGGTATTTATATATTATTACATGGGCAAATAAATAAAACTGGAGAACAACGTTTGAACAAATATATAAAGTGGAACGAAGGTAAAGCCTGTTTTTAATTTCATTCTTTTCACGGCAAATGTTTGCCGTTCGGGGAAGAAAAACAGTCCACGAATCAGCCGGGGTTACCACACACTCATAAGACCTTTAGCTTGTCGTTCTTACCAAAGATCCGTGAGCTTTCTGGAAAGTCTGTGAGCAGTTAGCTACCATTTTTGGAGAAAACGTCATCGAAATAATAGGAAGTAATTAGTGGAATTTGCCCTTGAATGGGCGTGAGATGTATCCCTATCCCTTCTACAAAGGCATAGTTGTCATCTTAAGATTTGCAGTCCTGTCGTTCAGTCTTGCGCAGTAAGTGACTTCCGTTGCGACAAGGTTCAGTTTATCCTCAGGCATTCAAGGAATTTCAGTAACAAGAGGGCTGTTATCCGTGGTCTGCTAGGGTGTCCGTCGATGGGTAATATTCCCTCCCCCTACGTGAGTGGAACGGCAGGTTCTGTTCAAAAGCTTACTGATGGCAATAATGGGCGCCTGATGTTAATTTGAATGACTAAGAGAAACCATGATACGTCAGTATTGACCTGCATCGAACTACCGGGCATTAGAGAAGTACCAAAGGCTTTCTATCAACCATCGCACATTTAGTGCAGAACGCAAAAATAAAAGGGGATATGAATTATGTCCACCATCCATTGATAGGGTCAAACTCCCCCAGATAACTACTACTTTGTAGTGATAAGTGGATCAGTATTAGATCTGGATGGTAAGGTGACCCAGAATCCACCAAAAAGATCACACAGGGTTGAGGTTCTTTTTTTCTCAGAAATATATACCAGGATGTCAAAATCATCCACAAACAACTGAAGCTTACTTAAACCAATATAAGAGCAACAGGCAATCATTTGCCCTTGTGTTCCCATCCAACGGGCACTGCTGTCGGGGAAAATTTTTTATCCCCCTATATATTGACCTCTAGGATGGTGCACTTGTTTATATACATATATCAAAGTGACCTGTAACTCAGCGAACTTCACTCGTATGCAGACAAATTTGGCTTTGCCTGAGACTCACCTGAAACCCAGGTGAATGTATCATTTATGGTAACTTTATGATATGCAACTGAATGTGCTGCACCGGGCTGTCTCATATCTCAGTTAGTACCATGTTCGAGGTGTCGCAATCTAATATACTACTCAAAGAAATATCACAAACGAGAGATCGAGCTGGGTTCCAGGTGAGTCTCCCACAAAACCAAAGAAGTAATGGTCGTTCCGCTGTATGGTGCTTAGCTGCCGTAACATTCGAAGAAAGTACAAGAGCTAAGGCTGTTCAGGTTTCTCAGCCAGGTTGCTCACGCCCAGACAGGAGCAGTCGAGACGCAGAGGTTGAGTTCTAAATACAGAGATTGCGGTCAGTGAGTTCGTGCCGTAAACACTAAGCTGCTTCAAGCTCTTAATGCTAGCTAATGGCTGACGCACAAAAAGGGCACTTGTTTTGAGAAAACAAATAACTGCTTTAGAGCCATTATTTCATGCACACACAACCTGATCAAAAGCCAATACACGTGTTCTTTTAAATCTGCTTTTTAAGTTTGCTCATTACAAAATACACATCCCCATGTGTATATCTGTCCCTGTGTGTATGGCCTTGAAAATCATGGAGCTACTTTTCACACAGTGCGTTCTTGTCAGAATGTAACAATTCCTAGCAGCTAATTCCTCATCAGGCCACGCCTTTGGTGAGACGAATAATAAACTGGCTGAATTTTAATAGCTCTGCTATACAGAACCACTATTTAACAATTTCAGCTAAATGCACAAGTGGTTTCCCTTACAATTCAAGTCGTGAAGTGATCTGAGCGAGTAATAAATTGCTGCATCATAAAATACGACCATTGAAAGCCGCTCCAAAACGTTCACCAAATCCACCAACTGGGACTAAGCGGTCGAGAACAGACTGTACAATTCCGGTGCTACGCGATATTTCGCTTGCAACGTGACGTTTACCTACTATTTCTGCTGGTCCTTCTCTGTACACCTGTGGATCTATGAATCAGCTGTGGCCGCGACTTTTCACAACCGCGCTCCACAAACTGTGAGAAGCTCTAAACACAGTTTTATTGTTACTGCGTATCGACCGTTGAATATCGTCCCCAAATACTGGTAAAAATCAATTTGAGGCTCAAGTGAGCAGTGGGCCACTTTGCGTGCATCGATGATTCACTGAAGCTATTCATAAACACGATTTCATTTGTGACAGGCTTTTACCACAAAAAACGCCAACCAGTAGACAACTAATCCGAACCAACGTACACGCAAGTGACCAAAACTTTTCAGGTGTGCACATTGCCCAATCAAACATTTGATCTACTTGAACTTTCATATCACCATCAAGCAGTTCGGAAATAGAACGTCCATAATCCTGCAATCCGGTTGCGTCTTGCATTGCCGTTTTTCTAAGGAACTGTTTCAGACATCCTACTACTACTTCGCAAATAAGTAATCACTTCGAAAGTTGCACTTGTGTAATACACGAGCGGAGCGTTTTTCTCGATAGCTTCTGACTCAAAAGCTCATAGGATGGAAACAGCACACTAAATGGAAACAAACAACAGATTGGCTTTACTAAGGTTTCCAATGAACCCGCAAATAATGGGCCCGTCCCAAATTCCACTCAATCGCCAAGTTAAACACTGCCTCCATTACACTACAAGTTGCATACTTATTCTCAGAATTTTGAGCAACCCTGGAATCAGCCGATCGATTTTTCTTGACCACCTAATCGCCCAAGATCAACAATGCTGAAAAATTCTTCATGGGTCCAGTAGACCGATTATATTCTGCAAATGTTCTATCAAGAGGGGGAGCTACACAAGGAAATGCCATTATGCACGACCAACCCTATCGTTGTGCACTGTGCATTGTGCACTGTAAACAATGAGCTGTTCGTTACAAGTGCCTGTTTCTAAGATCCACATCAAATTATGAGCTAGAGGTTAATTTCTGAAGTTCTCATTGTTAGTCTAACGCAAAGATTCCAGGTTAGCCCTACAACAACACAATGTATCTGATTTTGAGTTGAACCCCATTTCTTACACGAAATGTGCTCAAATGACAAAGTGGTTGAGAAAACCCACAAGTATTTCCTTGCAAAATTTTGGATATGCTTTAAATCATGTTATCCGTACACGAATTTCGTTTATCCACGCTGACAAACAGCTGTTTAAGTGTAAAACTGTAGCTTGTTCACCAACCTAATGAGCAAAATAATCATTGAAGCCTTTGTTGTTCCATAAATGACAGTGCAGACGATCATTCCCACTTGTCAGTTGTCTTTTACTGGCCTGACTAATAGCATAGCTGAGCATAGCATAGTATAATATAGTATAATCTGAGCTAATAGAGAAGCAAACCACTGCAGTTCAGCACATGATAAAGCAAAGTACAGTCACACTGTAGCCCACAAATACCTCCTCTTATTATTTTATAATGTAGCGATTTCGGAAATTGGGTACTCCCTTCGATAACGCCGAAAGTTCAGTCTGAAATTCTAAGTCGTGTAGCTGCGTTGTCACCGCCGACACGAATATGCCAGCAGGTACAAATGAGCGATACAGAGGCCAACGAAACGAATGCACTGTAAGATTTCGGGTGCATACACTGAGATTCCCACATTCAGTTCGAGACAGCCAACAAAAGGGCTCGGCTAGACAACTACAACTGATCCGACAGTGTGGCTGCTTTGACCTGGTTTTGCGATAAACCCTAGATTCCAACTCAATCCACAGATGAAGATTCCATCCTTCCCTAAAATTGAAACCGTTAGTCAGACTGTGAGTTTTCTTTTAGGTTTTTTTCCAATAAACCTGACTGGCAAAAACTGAAACAGGCCTTAATAAGTAGTAGAGTATCCCGACTTCTTCTAGATAGCATGGCTTGGTTCCCCCAACTGGCATGGATCAGTGACTTTTGTAAAGGATTGATCTCTCTAAGGAGTTTGGTAGTGCAACCTTAATGACAACGTACTACCATTAGCACGAGCAAGCTTCTCTATATTAATAAAATTTGCCAAATTGTTTGCTTCCAGGAATGTGTTTTTTTTAATCTGCCTCCATATCATTGACTATGTTGAGTCCTCTGTTTTTCTTGTTGAAGACTATCCTTGAATGAAACATCGATGGATGAAAACTCGTTGCTGTGTAGAAAACTGCTCTTGCTAATTTTATACTTTTATCTACATCTTTCACCAGATTCATGCCACCTGGAATCACAGTATTGAAATCGCTGCCCGTTAGTCAGCCTTCATAGGGCTCAATGATAATTACCTGTCTGAACCAGCATATGTGAGTGAATGAAAATCGTCTAATAGGACAGGTTCCGAAATTCAGTACTTTCAATCAGAAATACGATCTGAATGACTCATGAGAAACGTTTAGCCCTCCTACACTAGACTAGCCCAGATTAAGCAGCCTATGTTCTCCATGCAAAGCGCTGGTTAGCAGGACTGGGGGAGCGTAACCCGATCAGATTAACGTACATACGTATGTTCACTTTACTCAGTGGACACTGGCAAGGCCGATATATCATAGAAGAACGATTCACCACATGTATCAATTTGCCTAGACATACCTAACAGAAATCCAGTGTGTCATATTCCTACTATTCAGCTGACGAGCTGAAGTTACTTCTAGTGACATAGTCTCTCTCGTAGAGGTTTTTCTCTGTAATGGTCTTCTATGCTATCAAGATGAAAAAATAAACATCATCGGGTCTCATTTTATTTGTGAGGCAATATAACACCGCAACAAAATCAAGCATCTTTTGATTGCCACCTTACCTACGTAACCAACCCTGATTAGCCCTGTCAGCGTTCCGGAATGTTTAGACCACTTGGTTTCAGCACAGGGCTTTTTCAACTACCTTTGTGGCACAAATCAATAAACTGCTATTTGTTTCATCAAGAAAGATTCCAAAACGCATGTAAGTAGTGCTGCGCAATCGATCCACACGTCAAACAACTTTCTGGAAACTGGTTCTGTGTAGTCTCACGGAATCACAGGGTGTCTTCATGGATGCACATTATGGCTGTCATCTTCTATGCTAAGTTCTAACCGCACCCATTCATCACGCTGGGTTTATTGATTTGTGCGTACGCTGAGAAGCTCACACAAGAGCCGATATCTTCTCTCGGTCGTGGTTTGCATGTGGGTGAAGAGTAAATTAACTGCGAATCCGAGTGAGCCCAATATGTTTCAGTTTTATGCACGGATAGGTACACACAGCTGTATACCTGGCAAATGGTGGAAAGACGCTCGAAAGGTTCCAAAAGACTCACTCCGCAGTTTTAATTGCAACGGATGGATAACACCGAACTTGAGTCCAGCTACTTTTCCAGTGATTAGTGGCCAACGATGCAGATGTCATTGTGGGGACATAAACATAATTAGGACACCTACTTATTCAAGGTGCGAGTTACATACGGACTCACTTTGTTGATCTGGGTTTTTTTTACAACCATCCACAAATGGGTAGGTTGTGTGTTTTCCCCCTATTCATGGCGTTGCTTGGGAAGCCCCAGGCGTTTAACTGTAAGGTTAGGTCCCGGGCACATGTAGATAAGTTAGTATGCTGGCGAAGAACATGAATTCAAGATACGTGCTTCTTCAACGTGTTCATCGAAACCAATTTTTCTATGTTGCCTGACACAGCACATTGGCTATGCTCACATAGTCAGTGGTAATTTTGATATTTTTGCTGTTCCTCCTGTAAGGGTCTCAAGACCTCTTCTGCACCTGGGCTCCCCTTGACACAGTTGCATGCATAATACCATCCAAGACGGGTTTGTGAATTTCGAGCGAGTAGAACACCTGCGAAGAATCTACAGATGCATCTAACGTTGCATAGTTTCAGACAGCATCCAGGTGCGCAACGCTTTTCGAACAGGTAGTCATACCGCAAAAACTTTGCTATTTCCCCTTCTCTAAATTTCAACTTCCGGTTATCGGACAATCCAAAGGCTTGCTATGTTTCCCATTCATATACGTTCATACGCTAGCCTATTCCACGGAGATGCCTCCCCCTTGGGATCCAATACTACTGAATAAGTTTGACTGTCTTCTTACAGGTTGAGTAGGAAGGCTTGGGTGAAACTTCTTTGACTCTTATTGTAGTATTTATTTTCCGTAAGACAAACAAGATTATAGTCTATGGTCTACAAAATAATAATATAAAGTACCCGATAAAACCTGTCATACTATCTCACAAAACTTCTATCATTGAGCCTCAAAAAACCTGTGCTGTTTACCAATGTTTCAGCTCCATTTATTTCACCCTACTGCTTATTGTTCACTTGTTTTCGGTATCAAAAACAAACCGGATGGAGCTATATGTTCTTCCCTGGGTCTCCGTTGGTGCAAATCCCTATGGAATTTAACATGCAGTAGGTGGTAGGTCTCTGTTTCTATGGTTGGTAATTCGTAAGGCGATATCCTCTCCTCAGATTTGGACACTCCACAACCTTCTATCCCGTCTTTCTGAATCTTTCGAGTAATTTGCCCATTGGTGCCGTTCTTACAAATCATTATTCTTAGCCCTATTTTTTTCTGGTAACATGGAACAGAGCCACAGTGGTTGTCGCAACTTCGTGTGCGCCTATTTGCGATACTCGCCTCTTCTTTTCTCTTTAGATATACTTAGACTGTAGTTTATCAAACGTAGTTCTGAAGACTGAATAACTTAATCACACTGTCCAAACATTGTGCAAGCAAATTTGCTTGCTCAGACGCAATGATTCGGATGATTTCAATGTGTGTTGATGAAATAGCGGTAACAAACTGGCCTCACATGTCAGATGTCCGGATTTCGACTCGCTGCGTGATCATTGTTGTACACTGCTGATTACGTCTAATAAGAAGGAAGCCAAGGCTATTTTGTTTTGACACATCGGGACACTTGTACTCTGACAGCAAGATGTTTGTCCAAACAGGAATAATTTGAATGGGATTACTAAAATATTGTCTTGCCTGAATGGCTTATGCTTGTAGCGCAACGTTCCACACCACAGGCGCAAATACTCCAGTTGCACGCTAACAACAGCAGAAGGAACCTCCATGGAAGGGAATGAAAAGAACAAACAATTTTAACATCACATTAATACCAAGAATTACGACACACCAAACCCGCTGCTCAGAGTTACCGTTAAGTATGATTCCGGCCACGTATCTACTTTAATTGGCACAATTCAACCCCAGTCGATTTAGCTTGGCTTAAGTGCCACAAGTATTCCCCCCGATTTTCTAAAACAATTTAAAATAGCTGGTCCAAGAACATCAATAGTATTTCTCTATTACCATGAATAGCATCTGGCCCAAAGGGGTTTTTGGCAGCTTGGAAAGTTTCAATCTAGCAAAACAAGTAAGGTTCACCAGTGCTAAAATGTCCATTGAGAGCATGATCTACGTCACCTGGAGTGAACAAGAAGGATGACTAATGAGAATGCATTGGCGACCGAATTCCTTAACTAACTGCTGGTTTACTGTACATGATTCCAAAAGGAGGTTATACTCATTCTACAGAGAGTTCCACTTTTGGCTAGTTCAAGTGGCACAATCAGAATTTGACTCAGCGTGCATTCGACTTCCTGTTCTTTGGTGGTTTCCCTTTTGTATAGGCAATGTTATGATTGTTAGTAGGCCGTCCTGAATAACGGAGTATCGTCAGATTGAATTCTGCCTTGCAAGCCGCGACAAGCCATATGAAAGGCGGATATCCTCAACAGCTCAACCGCTAACCTGGTGTAATGTGCAATGGAACATTAAAACGCCATGCAGAAAAATTAGTCTGAAATTGATCGATCAACATAAGAAAAGAATGTGAGGCTCAGTGAAATCAGGGCAGAGTTTTTTTCAAGCATAGAGTGCAGTACTAGGAAACATTAGTGAGCTGGTTTTCATTTTATTCCGAATGGTTGGACCAGTTTAACGAAATGAATACAATGCTAACGTATAAACTGGAGAAAACTGCAGTAGACTTGCAACTTACATTTTACAGTGAAGGATATATTTCCTATTTCGATTTTTAAGAGGCCTTGTTCTCAGTTCAAACTCACTTCCTGGCATTCTCGGTTGGCAGCACTTTCTATGAAACAGACAGTATCTATCGGCCACCAATGAATACACCTGGGTTACAAGTATCCCAACTACACGTAACATACATTGAGTGTTTTCCTGTTATGGGTCATTATTAGGTAATCTGGGTTTTATTTAACAAAGTGCCATAAATAGCTGTCCGCACTTCCCTAAAAATGTCTTTCGACACAGATACCAGCACATTTCGAAGTTAGATCATGCTCTGAAATAGCGCAATCAGAGGTCGGAGGCCCTAGCACAGGCTACCGGGCAACGTTATTCCTTGATATTTTTATGAACACAAATGTATTTTTGCTTGTAGAAGCCCAACTTTTGATCACTCTGAACTACCATCAATATAAAACAGTGAGCAACTCTTCGAATAATTTATTCTGATCCAGTATTTTCGTCAAAATAAACTCATTGTCACATTACGACTAAAATACGGCATCATTGGTAAACGTTTCAGTGCCCTTGAGCTCTAACATAGATAGCTCTTAGCAATCCGTCTAAATATTGGTAGCTCAGCTTTGTACGGATGACGCCCTAGCGGATACTGACAAAACATTCACAAGCTGACTGTCAACCTCGAAAAATGAACCAAGAGCCACCTGAATAACAACCAATGAGTGCCCCTTTGTCGGCATTTTCTGACGCATTACACTAAAGAATGCAGTAACACGGCAACCACCTGATCAACAATGTGGCTGTATCCACAATATGATCAGTTGGCTTCGTTTATGTGTCATTTTATGTCTGGAAAGTTCACCGCCAATTTCCAAACTTTCACAATTATTTTGAAGTGATCCATAAGTACTAAAACCTGTATTTAGAGATGGTAATTATTGAAGCAGAGTGTGGTTATTACCGAAAATTAGTTTGCTACGCGGCTTGCCCTGGACGTACTCGCCAAGTAGGTTTCGTCAGTTTTTTTTAATTCTAGGCTCCATCCCCCACCGCATTACAATGGGATAGTTAACCGCGCTTGCGCACATGACAAGTGAGCACTAAACTGCTCGCTTGGCCTAAAACAAGTCGTTTTATTTACCAAATATTAGCTCAGTAAAAATTCAAACCTACGGAAGAATTAATTTTATCTCCGAATACTTTGGCTGGTTCAAATTTCCTAAAAATTTTGCGCTTCATCAATTTAACGGTTGATAATCTATCACATCCGACTTGAGCAAAGCTTTATAAGTCAAAATTAAGCTCAGATCTGCGAGCTTTGCTTGCAGTTCTTTTTTGTCCTTCTTATATAAACACTCCGTCAAGCTCAAACTCAAGTGCCTCGTGTGCGTAGGTAAGTTTACATTTTAACCGGTGCAATCTGGGGATGATGACTCATTCCTAAATACCAATCTCCAAGCTTTGAAAACAGCTTGTTGCTGTCGCTTCTTGCTATTTTTTTAATCCAATGCATAAAACGAGCACGTTTTTACACTGTGCAGTGTAAGTTGTATCATGTAGGTACGATCTACAAGATTTGCTCATGAACCAGCCGACCAACCGCATTTGAACCAAGGTGACATTTTGCACAACTTCATGTGTGTAGTACCAATCCACCTGTGCAGCAGTAGGTTGTGTCTTTCAGCTCTAAACACAATCAGACTCGAGCCTAACAGTAAGCCTGTCAATCGGAGTTTGTACCTGTTCGTACCGCCACAACATCAGAAAGAAGCCTGATTTCGACGCTGCTTCACTCAGAAGCCTTGGCCTGAACCATCGTCGTATTCCGTTGTCATTATGGTAAGACTGTGGCAATTTTGTTTTTAAGCCTTATCATTCCGTCTAGCGCGAGTGTATAAGCATACACGTTGGTCAAGCTGGCGTTCAAATTGGTAATGCCTGCTGGGAGTTGTACTGTTTAGAACATGGAATTCTACCTGATGGACAAATGCCCGATGGAACTGGTGTCGGACCACATGATGGCTATCATGATTCGTTCTTCAGCCAGTCTGGGTCAGGCAAACAGGTGCCGAGAGCCGTTTTTATCGATCTTGAACCAACTGTAATCGACGAGGTGCGCACCGGCACTTACCGTCAATTGTTCCATCCCGAACAAATGATTACAGGTAAGGAAGATGCCGCAAACAACTATGCCAGAGGACGGTACACCATCGGACGTGAATTCATTGATGCAGTGACCGATCGAGTGAGAAAAATGACCAATCAATGTGATGGTTTGCAAGGATTTTTTGTATTTCATTCATTCGGTGGAGGGACCGGCTCTGGATTCACATCACTTCTTATGGAAAAGTTGAATGCGGAGTATGGAAAAAAATCAAAATTAGAATTTGCTGTATACCCCGCGCCGACCATATCGACGTCCGTAGTGGAACCATACAATTCGATTCTGACAACGCACACGACCTTGGAGCACTCGAACTGTTCTTTTATGGTGGACAATGAAGCTATTTACGATATATGCAAGTAAGTTCGGTTTCATCTACTTGGTCTCATTCTAGTGCAGATCCAAACTGAATATTTCCAGCCCCTCATACATAAATCTGAATCGTTTAATTGCCCAAGTGGTGAGCTCTGTCACTGCATCGCTGCGCTTTGGCGGGTCTTTGAATGTTGACTTAAACGAGTTCCAAACTAATCTCGTACCCTATCCAAGGATACATTTCCCTCTGGCTACCTATGCACCGATAATTTCTGCAGACAAAGCACGTCATGAACAACTCAGTGTTTCCGAGATCACACACGCCTGTTTCGATCCATCTAGCCAGATGGTTAAGTGTGACCCGCGATCGGGTAAATATATTGCATGCTGCTTACTGTATCGGGGCGATGTGGTTTCTAAAGACGCCATTGATACGATTTCTGTCATCAAGAACAAAGGGGCAGTGCAATTCGTCGACTGGGCTCCAGCAGGCTTTAAGCTGGGTGTTAACAGTCAACCACCGACCGCAGTGCCTGGAGGTGATTTAGCACAGGTCAAACGTGCCGTATGTATGTTAAGTAACCTGACGGCCATACGTGAACCCTGGCATCGACTGAATTACAAGTTCGACTTAATGTTTGCCAAAAGGGCCTTTGTCCACTGGTATGTTGGAGAAGGAATGGAAGAGGGAGAGTTTGTGGAGGCTCGAGAAGATTTGGCTGCTTTAGAAAAAGATTATGAAGAGATTGCAATGGACGAAGATTTGGACGACGAAGAAGCTGCTGACACCTATTAAATGTACAGTGCGCTTTTGGACAATTACATTATCTTCTGTTTGATTTTTCAGTGCATTTTCTCATCCTATAAAACAATGGTATATTGTTTTGCTTTTCTATTATGTCAAAAGTTTAGGGTTACCGTTGTCCGTTGGTATTCCCTAGTCCTAGTCTTTATCCGGGAGCGTTCGCCTAACTTTCTCAAGCTTACTAACTGGAACACACATCACTCACCATGGTCCTTTATAAGCATAGAGTGTACTTAAACCAGTGCACGAAACCCTTGAAATTCTAATGAGGAATTCCAGGCAAGAACCTTGCATTCTTTTCAAATTTATGGGTATAACACTTTACTTGTGTGAATTAACACGCTTTCGTAAGAGGACAGGTTAGACAGTGCTGTGAAATAGCGCAGCAGGCGTGCTGGCGAATCAGAGGAGACAATCGTTTCTGTACGACCTTCTCTAGATTCTTTTTGTACTATTTTATGTGTCCTATTCGGATGTTAGAAGCTGTTGCCTCCTTCGCAAGGAATAGAAAAAAAATGTACCCTGTTCAATCAGCCTATGTCAAACTGACCGAAGTCTGGCCTCTTTCAAATGTTGTCTGTTATCTGTGACCAGTTATCCGGTTAGCAGTGGTTTGTCCACTGGACTCGTGCATATAATCAATAAACCAAAATGAGTTTGCGCGCAGCGGAATGTGATGCTACAAGCAAGTTGCTAGTACCGATACAGACTAGGAATCAGGAGACACACAGAGGCCTATTATGAGCGACCAGCTGACCAAAAAATTATGTTATCGCGTAACCATGAGGGCACGTTACATTTCCTCCTCCAAGAAACAGTATGAGTAGAAGAAGAACTCACTCCTGAGGTAGTTACAATTTGCCGTCATATTTGTCATTATCAATAGTAACTCCGGGTAAAACAACTGGCGACAGATTGTGGCAATTAGTCACAGCTTCTCCTCCCTCCGTTGGTGTTTCATTGGTTAGCCCGAATTATGGATTTCTTGTGTGGCGATCAGTAGATCCAGGGTCTCACTCAATAGAAACGTGAAAATAGGCGACAAACATGTACAAACATGTATCAAATCCGTTTGAACCGTTCCCCTATTTTGGTGCAATCAGTTCGGTGGCCAAACAAAGGGGGGATACACTGGTCTTGAGTTTCGCTTCTATTAGAGGTCATCATCAGTGTATATCCTTGGTCGTGCCGGAGTTAGAACTCCGAACATCTGACATTCGAGAGGAGCTTGTTACCACTGATCTATCAGCGCAAGATGCACGCACCCGAATTATCACACCTGAGCAGGCGATGGCCTTTACGCTTGAGCGGCGTGATTACACGGCCTCACGTGTCAGGACAGGAGTAGGACTGTTCAAATTTAAGTGATGTACATATATGCCAAATGGGGTATATATATATATATATATGGCGAGATAGCTCAGTGGTTAGAGCGCGAATTTACTGACCGGAAGCTACGTGGTTCGAACCCGACCTCTGCCTCTCGACTTCACCTGTCTAGGCTTGAGCAACCTGGCATTATCCCGGCCCTCATGCTTCCTTCCGGTGGCATGGCAGTTAGGCACCGGAAGGATGCTACAGCTGACCGATATATATACACATATATGTACATGTATAAACCAAGAAGGACGATATAGGGTTTGTTCATCATGTTGCTACTTCAGCACGCGGTTAGTGTATTGATTTGCTTGGTGACTATATCTTCCAGTTATTCAGTGTGCCTATAAACATATCCCAATAATTTCTTAAGACAAGATTCTAATTTATAGCCCTAAAAGTCTACTCAAATGCACCAACATTACGAACACCGTGTGTACTGTTATTGTCTACTTTCCCAACGACAAACACTTTCTACGGATAGACTGCCTGATACCAAAATGTAAATTCTATGATCTTATTAGAAGAGCTGTTTCATCTGGCCTGCAATTTAGAGAAATACTCACTAGTGATATTTGAGCAATCTGGGCAGTGCCGTTTACATGATGTATCTATGGTTCAGCTATAGTAAACTTCTGATGTCTAGCTGCCGTGCCACCCGAAAGAACCATAAGGGCCAAGATACTGCAGGGTTGCCCAAGCCTGGACAAGAGCAGTCGAGGTGCATAGATCGAGTTTGAGCCACGGGCCTTCCGGTCGGTGAGTCTGCTCCTTGAAAACCGAGTCATCTCAAGCTCGCTGGTATATCTAGGATGCATCAAGCACGCGCCGATAGATGAATGGGCCGCAAAAAGGAATGCTTGTGCATTTGACAACAAGAACAGTTCATCATCTCTATGTACCTTTTCTAACTGAGGCTCAAATTAATTTTATAGTCTTGCGGGAATACAGTAAAATAGGTCCGAACCATTTGAATGCGTTCAGAGTCTATTGTGGATGTGATCTACGAACACCGAGCACAATTCCACAAACATCCAACTGTGCTTACTTAAGTGGAAAAAACGCGGAAGAACCTCAGCCCAATTAGTTTCTCGGCCCTATCCACAATCAAACCTTATCTTTATAGAATAAGTAAATTTTTTTGACATTCTGGTGCAAATTTTGAAGTTAGCAATTTTGCCTCCGGTGGATCCCTTAGAAATTGGATTTTAACATGTACCTAAGTTCGAAAGTAACATTTAGTCAGCAGTGACGTACTGCAACATAGTCAGATACAATAATGGTGTTATGTCACCTGTACGATGCTCGATAGAAAAGCTGATATATATGACAAGTCATGGTATACCTAGATCCAAGAACTAAACCTGTGATAAAAGTGCTCGAGCAGCCCAGGAGTTCCCCCTCGAGTAAACTTTCACCCCCAAATATCTGCCTTGTTTTCCAAAAGTAACATGGGATTTTCAATTGTGTCACATATTTTCACTCATATGTGTTACCAACTTCCATCTTAATGTAATAGGTTGTAGGCTTTTCCAGTTGCCACACACCGTAATTCACACATTCAGTGATTTTGCTTCCCGAATAATAGGTATGTTTTTTTTATATCGTCTTGATGGCATCGATCCCCTGGATTTCAAACAAAGCCACAGTCAAATCTCGGTTAGTCACGTGAGCGATCCACTGAGGCATTCCCACTCACGTCCAGTAAGCAGGTAATTCTGCAAATGCGCCAGTGCAATCATTAATGCATTTTAACAGGAATAGACTCTGAACAGTAAACATCCAAGAAATCGATTAATTCACCCTAACTAATCACTTTTTTACTGTACAAGAATATCAATAGAACCATCCCGTCGGCTGAAAATTAATTACAAACAGTTTTACTGTTGGTGAAAAGCTCCTGACAAGGTAAATTTGTGGTCATAAGACCATGTTTCTGAATGTCCCTCATGAGATCCTGCGGTGAATTAGTCCTCTAAAAGATTAACTTTTTCTCTTCTTTGAAGGCAAGGCGTATTTAGTACACAACTACCGTCCCATGGCAACGCAGCTGGTGCAACTACCAGTCATAATAAGGCTTAGTTAATGAATGTCTTCTAAAGTATTCTGATGAAGCATTATTATAGAGTGATCGAATAAGGACAAGATCATTCAAGCAGAGCTATGCCTTTTGTCTTCAACAACAAAAAAGTTCTCGAAACTGTTCTCGTTAAAATCTGCAATCAGCAATCAAGACCGGTGGGTCACTTTGGGCAAACAAGTTGATATCTTAGCCTGTAAGTCCGAGCGTCTGTACGAAGCGCCTCTCTGCAAAAGTTAAGTTTTCACCTTGACTTGTACTTCACAGATTAGCCTATAAGCAGTTAAAACTTCACACGTCTGTCCAGTGTCAGTGTGCTGCGTACCCACAGGTCCCATCAGTGTAGGCCCGTTGATGTAGATCTTCAAACAGTCCATGTCCTAACCATTCGCTTATTTAGATAAGTCGCAAATTTTCGAAGTTTCCTGTCTTGAAGATGTCGCTCTTCGGGGAAAACAATAAATGGCAAGTTTGTTCAACTAATCTGGTTCATAGATTCTAACTTGTTCCTCTCGGTTGATCACCGATGGAATAGTTAAGGATTCCGCTTCTGAAAACAACCCAAATCCAACATATGTAAAGCAAACTTCTTTCGAGTGAATCCACTTATGATGTAGAATTTACGTAGTAAAAAAGCTAGCTAAATCTTCTCAACCATTTTCCCAGTTTGACAGGCGATCATGACTGTGATCGGGGTTGAAGCTTCAAATCGTAACACAGCCTGACTGGATGACTCTGTCGTCACGATCAACGGAGAAACTGCACAATGTCATCTGTGGCTTTCGAAAGTTGCTACTATGCTAGGGACTGACTAAACGAAACAACAACTGATTTTGAAGAGTTCTACCAAAATGTCATCGAACTGGTTCACGATGGAATGTGACGGAACATGATTTTCGCAAATATAAAATTTGATCAGTAGATAACTGCCCCCTTCAAGTAATGCTATTTATCGGCTGACAATTTCCAGGTAAACAAAACATTATTTACACAGGTTTGATTTTTTATCCGGAGCAGTAATGTGTGTCTTAAAATTTCGTATCTGGTTTTGAAGCCTCAACTTAATCAGATCAAGATTGTCCGGCACGCAAGCAGCTGGATACGTAGTTAGCCTTGTAACAACAGAAAATTATTGTTTCACTGTAACTTGATGCCCTTTTTCAGAAGGAGGAAATACCTATGGCAACGAGCTACAAATGATTCTTAAAAGCTAACCATTTTGAGCCAGTCCTGATTGAATGTTACAGCATCGGTCCTCGTCCAGTGTTTCCTCTCAGACGAAACTTATAAAGCGATTTCAACACGACCCTTCGATTGATCACTCACGTTTGGTAGCAAAGTTGAAAATACGCAAACCAGTTTAGTCACACATTCATATCAGTCAGAATTGGCTGGGACGAAAGTGACGATTACCAAGACAGTAATATCCAAACCAAATTAGGCAATATGTGGGCAAACTGAGGACAACCAAATCAGCGTTTATAGCACCTACAGATCCAAAGCCACCCGTTTGTCAAAGGTTTGCCGATTGCAG